CTGTAGGCATGGTGAAATAGGAGCACGCACTTACATTCCCGAGTCGAGTATGACGCATGGCCAGCCATCAGCCCCTCGCATTGCATTATTTGCATGACTTAGTCTAAAACAATCTTGCCAATGTATGATCTTAGGCTCAATTCGCAAAATAATAATTTCGGATCCATAATAATAAATGAAACAAATCTAGAAATTAAATCCTCAAATTACTTCTAGTAAGTCCCTAGACTATTCTACTATGGCTCTCATTCCTACAATACTTGATAAGCCACCGTATAGGCTGCATCACAAGACGTTCAAATAGCTACGAATACCACACTATAGAATAATTAAGGACTTTCGAAAATGGAAGCAAGAAAGAAATCGTAACAGAATTAAGAATAAAACCTATTTTTATTAGGTATTTAGTGAAAAATAAATACGCATTTTAAAAGGTTGGCAACATCTGCAAACGAATGAAAGTTATACATTATCTACGCAGTTACGTGACATCAGCTTCCTTCCGTTTCGCGTCGCTCAACGCAGTCCATGCATCTGTCGTTAATTAAATTAATTTATCGAGCATAAATAAATTTGAACGAAATACAAAATTCATTTTGAAAAGCTATAATCGATTTAAGCTGTGTTCTTTATGATCTGTTGTTCTTCACCAAATTGTGATAGTAAAATTAACAAGACTATATAGATATACCGAATTCATTTCGTACAACTTAAAGTAACAGTTTAATCTACCAAAAGTCTACCTACTACATATAATGTTTACGACAAGCTCCACTTTAGCCGTGTAATTAATGTATGAGTACTAGTATTTAAACCAATTACATATTGGTATAGTAAGATTATTATTTTTTTATTTTTTAATATCTATTACTTAAAGGAAAACAATACAATTTAAATATAAAATAAATCAGTGGCGCTACAACCTTTTTAGGTGATCATTTGTCACACGCTGTCAACTTTTTGTGTCTAAGGCCGGTTTCCTCACGATGATTTCCTTCACCGTTCGAGCGATTGTTAAATGCGCACATTGAAAGCCCATTGGTGTGCAGCCGGGGATCGAACCTTCCACCTCAGGGATGACAGTCGCACGCTAAATCCACTAGGCCAACACTGCTCTACAAATTACTAATACATACAAATGAATTAAAATACCAGACACTAAAATAAACAACTGCTTTCAAATAGGCATAATAGTTATAAATGTCAAATTCATATTTAAATTTACCACAGATACGATAATTATAATGTCACCGTGCATCCACATAGGGTATCATTACAATAGTATACAAAAAATCTGATATAATCTCATCAAAATTCCATCACGGCAGGTCAAATAACACTGGACCGTCGTCAGAAAGACAATGAGCTTGAATAATGATGGAGACATAAATATTTGCTATAAGAATCGTGACTAGAACTTTCTGTACATATTGCATTTTACTCATTTACGAGTTATTTGTAAATAGCGGAATACGGAATAACCTAGTCTAATAATTACTATTTATTTTTAGAATGATTATTTACATTAATAATTATCAGGCGCTACGACCTGTTTTTGAATTTGTTGTATCGATTTTTTTTCTGCAAGTTCAGCGCTCTGTGCCTGACAGGTCGTCAATTGATTGCCATAGGTCAAGTCGTAATAATATGACGCGTCATGTTGCGTGACAACTGACAACGGGTGTTAGACTAGATATAACGTTTCATTGAACGAGCCTGTGGGAAGCTGCACTAGAAAGAAAATCTAATAGAGGGATTATTATTATTAGAGGGAGTTAGAATCCCACTAAACCTGACTGACATTAAATGCTATTATAAAATACAGTAAGCTTCGAAATTAATCAATTATTGGTCCTTCGTCTATTTTACTGGTAATATACAACGCGCAAGCATCTGCTGTGTTATATTCTAGTAAATAGATCGTAGTTATACCTTGAAACATAAACAAAGGTATCCTGGGTGAGTTAAAATAACTTGAACTAAGCAGTTACACACTCGAAGTCGTTAAACTCAAACTCAAAATGTCTTTATTCATGTAGGTAAACAATTACACTTATGAATTGTCAAGTTAAATTAATTGTAAATTTACATTTACTACCAGTTCGCAAGTCAAGGGCGTAGAGCGGGTAAGAAGAACTGGCAAGAAACTTTCCGCCACTCTTTTTAATCGCCAAGTATTGTCATACAAATTGTTTGAACTGGAGCAAATCAATCCCAAGGATTAGGATCATTGAAGTATTCCTCAACTTTATAAAAAGCTTTATTGATTAATTTCCGTTTAACCAGGGCTTTGAATTTATTTAGTGACAATTCTCTAATTTCGCTTGGGAGTTTGTTGTAAAAACGAATACAATTTCCATATAAGGAGTGGTTTATCTTTTGGAGCTTGGTTGGTCGTACACTCAAATTAGTTCTATTTCGCGTATTATACGGGTGAAAGTCACCATTTGTTTTAACCATTTGTTAAAAACATTACTACGCGCCTTCCAACCTTAAACAATTACTGTTTCGCTCAGAATCAACCAGAACAACTAAGCTGATGCAAGAATTCTTTAAAAGCTACACAATTTATTTAAATTTTACATTTAAGGTTGAATTTAATGTTTTTCTTTAATGTGTAAATAAAACAAGTGGCTCCACAGTAAACTGAGTATTTTAAACAAAATTACACATAATAGCTAATAGCCAATCGCCAATAGTCTAGTCTAGACTGAATAACGACCGGTTTTAATTATTTGTGTAAACCTCTATATATATATAATAATTACCGTACTATTAAGTTAACTTACTAAGTTATGTTTAGTAAGTTTACTCAATGGTGGGAAACAAACATGTCGTACTAAAATATAAGTTGTGCTAATGTGTGTTTAAATAATGTGACTAAAACAATGCACCACTTGACTCTGCTTCTATTTTTTACTTTAATCGTTCGTTTCGTTGTAGGTTGACGGATAATCGGCATTTTATTAAAGACTGCCAGTTAAAAAAAACTATTACGGTAATACTGTAGAATCTCGATAACCGAATGTCAACGGAAATCGACTTAACAAGAACTTCGAGATACATATGATTTAACTGTTGAAATTTCGACTTACAGAGGCACGATTTGTATGTGTATTTTTCGATTTGTAGAGTCGAATTTGAATATCAACTTAAGTTTTGTAGTATATATTTGTTACATTTAAAACGAATTACATAGGTACATATTTATTATTTAAACTGTACTCTAAAAAAATGTATGAATGTATTCATTCATTGCACGTGTGCAAATCAAAATCAATAGATCAGAAGCCCCGAAGTCCGAACCCGAACATTCACTTTGGATTTTATTACCATTATTTCGGGCAATCCCAAGTAAGACGTCATTATAATATTAACTATGACTTACGGAATACGGAGTCTCCTTTTTAGAATTCGAGCTATATAGTATAAATAAGTACATATTATAAATACTTCGTAGGAAAATAACATTTTGTTCGAGTTACAAAGACAAAATAATTCGAGATAACGCATATTTAGGGGTCTAGCGGAAGTGGATTTTTTTCGACTTACTGAGGATTTCGACTTAACGAGCTTCCACTGGAATTACAATTTAATTATCGGTATCGGTTTTGCAGAGTATGCCTGCTGAATTGTGTAATTCAATTGTGTGACTGATTGCCATTGTGGGACTTCGGGCGTCCTGCAATTTTCTAGACTCTAGAGCAAACATAGCCAATCACTTACACTGGCATTTTTCGCTTCAAATATAAAAATAATTACTAATACCCGTACTGTTTCCTACTACTTTGTAGTTAGAGAATATGAAGGAAATATATTTGCCAAGGTTTAAAAGGTGCTTGCTTAACGTACTGTACCTAAATACGTCAAATCTATTCAGCAGTCAATCAAACCATCTGATAGAGGCTGGAGTCGGAAGGGCGCGCCTGCTCACTGATCCGTCAATAATTTCTTATTGTTACAATACTACTTGGTACTGTTTTAGGTTCTAAGGTAGAGGCGAAAGCGCTCTAAAGTTTTTATTTTGAATTCCCATTAAAAAGCTGGATTTCGTACCAGCTTTTTAATGAATGTGTCAAGTCTAATATATCATTAGGTCAGCTTAGAAAAAAGAAATATGGCTTAACCAAGCTTTTGTTTGCCGCACCTATAATAATATACTTTTATTAATACTCGTAAAGCAATTTTGGAAGGACAATTGACGAAGTATGTCAGACAGTAAAGGTAACTCATCTGCTATAAAGAAAACTCTGCAATGAAACAATTGCAGAAATATGAGGCCAAAACGCAGTAGCAGCGCTGGTTTATTCAATATCTTCCGGCTTAAAGTACAGAAACACTTAAATATTGTATTCAATATAATGGTTACAAAAAAACAAAGAAGTTATGAAAACGATTATGGCTATCAGCATCCGTTTAAGTGTTCAATACAAATAAAAGCCTTTTTAACTTTGGTAATCGCTCTCGTTCATGGCATACTCCAGAAGGTGACTAGCGCAGATAAGTATGTGAAATATATGATCCAAATATCAGTATAGATCAAGATGCGTTGGTGATTGCTGCATTGTTTACCTACTTATATTTTGTGAGAAATTGTTTTAGTTAGGTAGGCATTTTTAAAATAGAGAATAAATTACTAATTAAAATCAAGTGTGTCCACCGCAACTAGCGGTTATAAGTGTTTTTCTGTTTGTCAGTTATAGGAAAAGATACGAACAAACGTTCGTGAACAAAAATTGTGTTTAAATTTTAAACTTAAAATAAGCCCGCGTAGTTTTGCGAAGTGTGTAAAAGATCTAAGCGGACACATTGCACATACAGAACTACTTTGTTTTACACTTTGTACTGTAATTAAGTTATTTACGTATTTTAGAAATAAACATTCATTGTACTATCTGGAAAAAACCCGTGTCTTGTCGTTATCTATGTATAGAAACAATTCCGTGTATTTGAACTATTTTATATGTATATAATGATTGTTGCAGTGATGTTGTGAGCGCATGGGTGGCGCGCTGCTGGAGGCGGCGGCGCGCGGCGACGCGGGGCGCCTTGCCAGCTTGTTGCGGGCGGGTGAGCGGCTCGACCAGGTTGACGAGGTAACTTCTGCTTCTCTCTTCTTAGTCTACTAACCCCACTTTGGGCCCAACTTTATAAGTATTTAGATCAGGAAGACTCTTAATGAGCATTGAGTGCCTAGCAGCCTAAAAGTATGTTGTTTCGTCGGAAATTGAACTCGGGACTTATGAACTACAGGTTCGTTAAGCAATAAATTCTATGGCGACCACCACATATTGCATTACCTGCGACAATATGCTCCAAGGTTGTTACTGGGCCCTTCGCCTTTGAATCTGCCTAGACTTCGTAAATCCTACCAACCTAAATTAAAACATATAAATACAGGGATAATAAAAGCAAATCTTAATATGCTTAAATTAAGTCAATACGTCCATGTAAAGATAAATTTCTCATTCTGAGCGTATATAGTAGTCTTATTCTATTCAAAGTAGGTGCGTCGTTTAATTCATGTCGTATGTTAAACTAAACACGCGCTGAATATCACATTTTGATGCTTTAACTAGCCCACCAGAAGAGAAGGAAATGTGCACTAAAATATTATAAAGAGACATTGTAATAAATCGGATTTAGTTTTCTCTATTGAAACCAATTCAGAAATAAATAAAACGACAACACACAATCCGACGGGTTGCAGTTTTCTTTTTTCATTTGTCCACTTGCATTCATGTTCAGCGGCCAATATAAAATATTCGCTTTCGTACAAGAAATCTAATTGCAATCTGTCGCAATAATCTTCGTAATTTATCACCTGATAAATTAATGTAATAAATGAACTAAAGTGGCTCAATACCATCTCTCAAACGCAGTAGCAATACATTGACTCCTTTATATTACTTTACTGGCACCATACTGTGAGCGAATTAATGCATGACATATGCCACACAATTATAAACTTTATAGTTAGCTTATTAAAACTCTTTTTATTAAATATAATCTTTTAAGTTGAAATACACCTCAATTCACGTCTCGTCCACACCGTCTTTGGTATGAATTCGATATTTCGCTCACAACGTATAGAATAATCGATAAATCAATGTGTCGATTAATAGATCGCGTGTTCTATCGGATACTAATAAATCTTACAATGTACGATTATATACTTTTGATTAATAGCTGTACATGTTTTTATGGTTCAAATTATAATTAACTTCATCGCTGAATTTTGAGTTAATCATACATTTCAAACCTCTAACCTAACCTGCTTAAAATGTTACGTACATACTCGAGCAAAAGTCATGAACATTTAATAATTTCTTGTGTATAATTAACCGGAAAGTACGTATACGAAAACAACGTTCCGCAGCACACGCCTACTAAATTTTTATTGACTATAATCTCTCCGATTACTTTGTTTTTGAGACGACATAATTGACTAAACATTCTGGTTCTCGACTGATTGTGAAGAATTTCGACGATATGTCAAACTGGTATAAAATGTTAATTAATTTTATCGGGAACATCATACGATTTTGTTTAAAGAAAAAAAACTGTAAAGCATTATTATCTTCTATTTGCGAATAGTTGCGGATTTATTGGCTGTGGTAAAAATATAAGCGTGTCGAGTTGCCGAGCCGATATCGCGGTTACAACGAAATTGAAGAAAAAGTACAAGTCTCAAACCGGTTGGGCCGAACTAGTTTTTTAATGATCTCTGTCTTGACTGAACTGCTAGATGACAGATTATAAAATGCCGATACCTATCCACAGAGAGATTTGAAGTGAGCACCGTGATAAATACCTAGTGATATGCATATTCATCGACATAGTTTGTGTTTACCGTATACGTTTTGACTTAAAAAATGTTGAATTACCAAATACGTCAAGGATCGCTGCTCGGTCAAATATCTACATTGAAAGAAAGCCTGTATCCTACCATCTACTTATCTGGAAAGTAACTTCATTAAAAACCTTCTTATACATATTTACAAGTTTAACTAATAATAATTGATCCTGTTAGTTTGATCAGATTCCCAGTGTGTTGAATTAACAATTAATAATTCTATGATATTAAATAATAATCAATGCCGTGTATAAAGTTCCATAAGCCCATTCATAGAACAAACACATATCTGCGTCTCTTTTATTAATGCATCGTAACGTCAACATGGAATGACAGGCCGGTTTCCTGCAAGGAATTAAAAGTCCGTACCACTTCTTAAAACAATGTTGCTCTATAAAAATACGTTTATTTTTGTATTTCTGTAGCAATAAGTTATAAGAAACCTCAACTATGCTTGAACAGCTTAGATAATAATAATATTAATGGAAACGTAATGGTATTTCACAGTTTCATGGTACGATGATTTCCAATTTACATTTCACGCTAATAGAAGTTGCAACTTTATGCATTTACATTTTGATGCTTTATTCCTATATTGTTTATTACCAACATAACTTTTACCCATTTAAAGAAAACACTTTTTTAACGGATTGAAGCTATGTATTATTATAAACGTATAATTATTTTACATAATTATAAATTTTCCCGGCGTTTCGCGTGCTTTACAGCGTGCGTGGTCACGGTGACTGATGACAAAAGGTGTTGAATGTCAAAAAGTATCACAGCTGTAGAAAAAGTTGTATTATCTGTATTTATATCCCCGGAGTTGATATCGACTAAATAATTATAAGTTTATAATAATACATAGCTTCAATCCGTTAAAAAAGTGATTTCTTTATTCCTGCTTTCTTTTTCTCTGAACACATATTCTTTTTATACGCAATTGTTTTATATTGTAATGTTGATTATTACATAATAAATTACATTAAAAATGCTACGCGCTAGTCTACATAGAATAAGCATTTAAACTTTTTCCAGTGTTGTATACAAGTCGTATGTAAGTCTGTTTTAACACCGTTTTTGTATTTTTTTAATAATTCACATTAATTTGTGTAAGTACGACCGTGTAGTGCGATTTGTGTTTCTTTAAACCATTACACCTTGTTAATTATTGTAGTTGGGTAAATTATATCACCCATTTGTTTTTACACATTAATATTCAATATGCAGGGGCAGTCATCATGTTTAATATTCTGTATAAATAACTTTACCACCGTAACTTATAAAGTTGGCACCTGCTCTTACGATTTCCTGATCTCGTTTACAGATGATTGATTTGTTAAATTAATATATTTAATAGTTAAAATTCAATCTTGATTTCTATTTATTTCTTAAATAGAGCCTTTGTAAAGAAATGTTTTTATTTTACAGATTGTTTTGAGATAAATTTTTGGATAACATGTGACTTATATAATATATAATAGACATGTTATTTATTATGTTATAACTCCCGTTTGTGGTCTCACCCAAGGTTCTCATCCGAGAGACGAGTATTTTTAAACACACTAAAACGGCCAGGCGACACCCAAAAAGTAATCCCCTCTATTCGTTATACAAACTATAAATAAATATATAGATTTATTCTTATACTATAAATGTAGATTATTTCTTCCATAAAAATGTAAGGAAGTCATTGATCATTTTAGAAAGCTAATCACAGTAAAAAGTTATATGCAGACATTTTAATTTAGGCCCATTATTCGAACGATCAATTTAACTGACTTATGACAACCTAAATTAGTCATCTTGATTAATGATTCTACTGATAGGTTTTACCTATAAATAAAATTGTATAAATACTGGTTTTATATTGCTCTTTTGATCGTAAATTGAAATTGGTTGATAAATGGCATAATCAGTTTTAAACTCAAATGCCTTGGCACTTGAATATTTTTTCTCTTATTTAATGGATGTAAAATTTTCTCTACTTTTGTTATAAGCGTTAGTATATAATAATTGCAATTTTTCACTTAAAACAATTTTAGTATATGGATTATGAAGGACCATTAAATATACCTGTATTTGTACACTGCTTGAAATGTTTGTTAAAAACACTGTCATGAAATATTTTAGTCGAAGCAAACTTCAACAAAAAATAAAATGCATCCCATTAATGTATAATAAATTAAATAACAAATAAATTGGCGTTACAAAAATGTTCGTAATAATCACATTGAGTTCGCTTCACGCTTCGATTACACGATAAAATTGAAAGTTATGACTGTATTTAGAATGAAATCAATTAGACTTATTATATAATTATGGTAATATTCCTAACTAGTGAAAGTAGAACCGTGACTTATGAATAACGGGTACAGCACGGCATATATTTGGTTCACCATTATTTATTTCATATTATTTTTACTTATTACAAGGGCCTCATCGTGGGTAACCCGTAATATTTTAGACTCAAAAATCATCAATGGCCTACAAAAGAGAAATGTTTAAAAACACAGATGTAACCTTTATTAGGTTTCTTAACCTACAAAGTAATAATAGACATAATTAAAATGAAAATCAAAACAAATTTAAAAAGTTTGGTAACCAAGTGTAGATGCCACTAAAGTATTATTATTTTGAAGTTCTCTACGTAATAAATAAAACCCATAACATATAATCTTCTACTAACTTATATGTAATGGTTTAATAATAATAATAATACACGTAAAAGAAAATAAATATCACAAAATATTCGATTATTTAATTGTTAATGTACTTGTAATGTGACTGTACTGCATAGTCTTTAAGTTAAACTAGAGTTAAGAGTTACTTCTCTCTTAAAGAATATAATTTTGTGCTAAAAAATCAGATCCAAAAATTATTTATCGTGCAATTTCAACGAAATTGTTGGATTGTAAAAACAATCTAGGCCACACATCACAGCCTATACCTTTTCGCTACTCAATAATACTATTATATCTTGTAATTGGGTTTCTGTTTCGGATCTATAGCTACCATTGTTTGAGGCAAAACAAAATACATTCCACGCAGTAGACATTGTTGCGGAGAGCTATAAATCTGTAACGAATTGACCTTATCTAAGGTGATATATTTTTACAAGGTTCGATTTGGAAATCCAAACGATGTTTCAAAATGTCAACAAAAAAGCGTCCATATCATCATACCTTACTTTTTGTGGTCAGACTAATTGGGTCGTGCTTGTTTTGTTAACAAACGCTT